ATCTCACCGCCTACCCTCATCAGATAACAGCACCAAATGGGTGCTGGCTACATGCCAAGAGTCAGTGGCAGGAGCTCCCAGCCATAGAAAAGAATGGAGAAAAGGGAGAAAAAGGGAATGAGATGGGTGGGGATTGCTGATCTTAGTTTGCCAGAACTGGAAGCTTGTAGCTTTAGTCTGTCTCATTCCACACTCAGACTGTGCTTCTACTGTGCCCACCTGGTAATATTCTATTTGTTAAACTGGGTGATGTGTTTATCTTATAATGGTTCATATATACATATTATCCACAAAAAACTCCTCAGGGTGGAGATTCTGGGCTTACCAAATGAGGTCGTCAAATGCTCCCATTCTCCCTAACAGTGTTGTCACGACTCACAAAAAACTGAGAAATATTGTCAAACTGAAATTGTGTTGAAAGCGACACTAATTGTGTCCTAGAATTCTCCCATTTCTATCAAAACAAAGAAATGAGGCTATTTTGATATGACTTACTCTTAGGAACCTTAGTCAGTTGCCCAACACACTGTCCCCTAAATGCCAACATTATCTAATACTTTCAAGGGTTGTCCAACTTCTCAGAATTCACTCTTCAAAATATATGTTTGCCAATTCCCCAATCTTTCGGCACCTCTTCTGTTTTCTGCAGTTTCCCTAATTCCTGGAAGTGACTATACTCAGGAATACATTGATCTTAGGTATATGAGCTCATTGAAATTAGGTTCAGTGTTTCTTACACATTTTTTTTTAACCTAAGCTAACACAAGTTGAGTATCCCAAATTCAAAAATCAAAAATCTGAAACTTTCTGAGCACTGACATGATGCTCAAAGGAAATGATCAGTGGAGAATTTTGGATTTGGAAATTAAGGATGCTCAACTGGAGGGTATGTAATGCAAATATTCTCCCCCCTCCCAAAAAAAATCTGAAACACTTCTGGTCCCAAGCATTTCAGATAAGGAATACTCAACCTGTACATTCTTCAAAATAGAATCCTTTTCAATGAGCCTGGAGAGACTTTTCATTTGTTATTATTGTTTTAAGGACACTATTTTTCTCTCTCACAAATAGGATGTGATTTCCCTGATCTTAGTTTTGATAATAAAAGCCTTTTTCATTGTTTTGAGCTCCCCACCCCAAACCGCTATCTGATGCTGTAACAACTGACACTATTTTCCTGCTATTTGCACTGTTTTGCGTGTTCCTACTTCCAAGCTTGGCACTGATCTCTAAATTTTCCTCTCAACAATCGTAACCTCGCATTGTTCAGGATCTACCCTGAATTTTATTCCCTTTTAGTTTCTAAAAGTTTATAGTCATAGTTTCACATTTGCATCTTTTAAAAGGTGAATCTTCTGAAATTAGACTTCCTGAAATTACAGATAATGTGTCACTAATTATGGCAAATGTTCTTTCCATGCTTTGAAATGCCAGGAAGACTTGGGTGTTGTTAACTGATCAGGAATCAAGCCAGGGCACAGGAAATGCTGGCTAGCATGTAGCGGCTAGATGAGGCTATGTGATACAGGGACAGTTCTTATGGATGCAGTGGATAGATGGTGTAAAAAGAAAGTCTATACAACACAGCTACTGGAGAAGAAAGATAAATCCAAATTATTGCATGCAACTTAAATTCACTCTAAAGAAACAACAAACTTCTTTTTCCCTTAGGAATGCTTAGAGAAACCAAAATTAGAAAAAAATTTCCAAACTGCTTTGCAAAAGAAAAGTTGTCCTACTTATGGAACTTGTTATCTACTCTTTATTATCTGAAACTTGGCACATTCAAGAACAAAATCGTTACCTCTCTGGTTCGCACAGCAATGAGAGACTACACACTAAACACCTTAACAGGCCATGAAAAGATTGTTTTATTCCATGAAAATATTCTCAACAGAGAACACTATCTTTAAATGAAGGATTTACCATTAAGAAATCAACATGTGCACAAAAAGAGTAAAAATTACCAAAAAATTAAAGATTTTTTGGGACAATTCACATGTTCAAAATTTAAGAATGATTTAAACTGTGCAAGTACAAATGTCTTTCCTATTATAATAACCCATATACAGGTTGCACTATTCCACGTCAAGGAACTTGCCTCCTACGGAAGCAAATCCTGCTTTTAGAAAAACAAACAGTAGCTTGAAAAGAACAGTTAGTCCTTACAAGAAAGTCTTAAACTTTGCCCTCTGTGGCTGTTAGCCAAAAAACCATAAGCACTTCAGGCTTTGTACAGAAGACAAACACAGCCAGATCACATTTCCTCCGCATTGCTAACCTTTAAAATAAAAATAGCACTAGATTTTAAAACTACTTCATGTAGTCAGCATTGAATAATGTCACATTATATAAATAACCCTGTAACGAGATTCAATATCTAAACTTTATAGTTTACTAGCTGCAAAGGTAATACACTACAAGTCAGCTGTGTAACAGTGGTGACTTGATCTTATGAAGGCAGTAACTTTCACACAATTGTCATTCAGCTTTAGTACAACTGGTAGTATGATTCAAATAATACTGGGAAAAAGTTATTAAAGCAGTCACACAGCTTCTAAAATATTGCTTAAAATCCAATAATACACAAACCATTTCATGTTCCTTCTCCCCTCAAAACAGTAAAGAACCAAATTAATGAAGATTCAGCGGTACAAACAACCCCCCACCCGCTCCCATCTCCCTATTACAACACCACTAAGAAATTGGTTAAGATACAAGTCATTAACAATCACAAATGCGAGGCAGGACACCATGAGCAACAGGAGCACTAACAACAATCATATTTACAAGTATAAACATACAGAAATTCCATTTTACAAGTAAAAGTGCACATAGATAATTACAAAGTTTCACTAAATTTTATCAGGTTCAAACAAAAGCATCACGTGGAAACAGACTATCATTGTAATAATCAAACATGACTGTGATAACCCCAAATAAAAAGACAGCTGGGGGAGGTCCATAAAACTTCTCATAAAAACACTGAGCAAAGTAAAATGGACTTGGACATGTCTTCAGTTTGATGCATAAATTTGAAGATGCACCATTGTACATAGTAGAGCTCCAATAGCCACCTACTGAGGCTACATCGGCAGCTGCAGCCGTGCTGCAGAGTTAAAGGAGGTCGCACTGAGCTGACACATAAAGCCCTTTGTGGGACACTGTAGTGGTAGTGTTGGCAATCAACAGATTTAGGCACTCTAGTTTAAGGCAGCATTTGAATGGAAGCAGCTGACTTTTGACAATAGTCCTTTGTCTTGAGGTGGTGAGTATCTTCTGTGTTTATTATGCCAGGATTTCAGTGCTGACTATAGATTCTTCCCAGACTGAGGTGCTGAAGATGTATCACGTTTCAAAGAGTTCTTTCAACTGGGCTGTAGGCTAGAGCAGAGATGTTTTCTTTTTCTTATCATAAATACTTCAGGTTCACAAGCTACTTCTTTGTAATGCCACAACTGGAATGTTTGCAGTGGGGAAGTTACAGCAGTGCACACAAATGCTAGGATGGAAACATTAGTGCTGGAGATGTCTGACAGAGGGATTTGCACTACAAATGTAAAACAAAACAGAGGCTTTGACAAGAACCAGGGAATCTAAAGACATGCCTGAAAAATCTAGCCCAATCACTCTAGACATGCAACAGGATGTTAAGCAAGCACGGAGGTGGCGCAGGCAGACACTGACAGATGGCAAGGATCTGACAGACAGTGGGTCTAAAAGCCAATTAAAACAGAGCTGGGAGGGAGACAATCCTGTTGGGACAGCTAATGTAAGACAAATTTTTTGGGAGCTCTGCATTCTTTATTGATTAGACAACAGTAAAATAAACAGAAAAATGGTAAGCCATTGTTGACTTTTTCTTTTGTGGGAGTAACTGAACTAGAAACTTAAGGGTTGGTATTACGATTTTTTAAAACAATGTATGGAAATGCTAATGAAGTTAGTAAAAAATAATCATGTCTGCATGCACTCATGCAACTTGCTTCTCTCACTCTCTTTGAGCCTGACAACTCTAATACCCTCCCCCCAAAAGCAGCTGCATGTAACCTCCTTCAACATCTTGCCCATTTCCTCAGAAACCCTCTTCAGGAACCTGCAGTCCAGGAGGAAAAAGAAAAGAACAATTACTGAAGACCTTTGGTAAAACCAAAAGGGGTGTTCAGTTTAAAGTGCCTGTCTCAAATGTCTCTAAAATCATTTTATAGACAGCTACTGAAAACACCAGGAAATTTTAAAACATGGGCTAAATCAAAAACCAATCTTACTGCTTCTTCATTTTACTTCCCCACACCACTGACTCAGGGTGTGATCACACAATCAGCACCGCACAATCCTGGATTGCACAGTGTTTCCAACAATGCTTGCTGAAATTAATTGGAAACACTTATCTATCCTCATAAGTAATAATTCAGCTGAAATAACAAAATGCCCTAAATGGTGGTACACGGATCTTCCTCTAACCCAGATAGTAAAAAGTTTCTCCTTTAAAATTAAAATTTGTCAACACTTCGCCTCCAAGGTTTTCTCTATCTTCAAATGTGTATTTTTCTATTAACCATGTATTTTCCTATATGTAACTGCTAAATGCTAAATAATCACTAAAGTGGTATTTCCCAAAAGATATTTTCAAGATGAAACACACAAGCATAAGATTAGTTTGGAAGGAAACTTGTAAATTATTGAAAATTACCAGCTAACCTCAAAATATGTTGAGGTCTCGAACAAAATCTGTTTTATTCACCTAAGAGGTAGACCAGGAGATTCACTGTGCAACTCTCTTTAAATCTACTTAAACAGATTACTGTGCCAAGTGCTTATTTTCTTCCTTTAGGAAACCAAAGTTAAGAAAAGGGAAGAAAATGAAAATGATATTATTATTTTACTCAATTATCTACTACTATTTTTCTTTCTGAAAACTGTAGCTACAAATTCAAACTCCTAGAAGAAACCACACTTTGGGGAGTTGGCTTTCCATAGCATTTCAGAGCAGTTTCACTTATTCAAATTCACTAGAGTCACTGTGTTTTCTGAAGTAAAAGTGGCAGAGAGCATTACTATCCATGAATTCCTGCCCAATAAATCAAATTCTATTTGTAAGGCAGAAAAACACAAATCCTTCACACAGACTTAAGCAGGACATAAAGCAAAAGGCATCAACTGAGCTTCACACCAACATTACTCAAACAGTAAAGTGCCACAAAAAGTTTCTTGTGGTAACATTCACAAGATCAAGCCTACACTCAGCTCACATAGTGAACAATTAATCTTTGATGCCCTTTAAATTTCCTTACTCTTTTCAACCTCTTGAATGTGTTTTCATTTTATGTTACTCTTCCTGTGTCACACATGGCACAAAGCTGCCTGGTTAGTTTAGATATAAGTTACTGCACCTTTACTGTTTTTCTCTAGGGTTACATCTATGTATGACGTGGGAACGTAGCCTTCTTCACCGTTCTGTCTCCGAGCTCTTGTCCATCCATCACCTTTGTCCTCCTCTATAATGTAGAGAACTTCACCTTCTTTCATTGCCAGAGTACCTTCATTATGTCCTAGATGAGAGTTTTCATAAGCATAATTTAAGCACGGTGATACTTTTTTTTTTTAAGTTACAAATACAACACACAAAATAAAATGTAGATTTCAATGTGCCTGGAACCACTGACTCTCATTAGCAACATCTCTATAGTGCTTTGTGGCTTATCCAGCACCTTATTTACATTCTCTCATTTGAGCTGCATAAGCCTGTAAGGCTGGATAACATCACCCCCATGTAACAGATGAAGTTAACTGAGCCACAGTGACATTACATGATTTGACAGGGTATTCTAATTCCTATTTCACTATTCCAACTTCTTTCCCAAATTTGGGTAGTCAATCAAAAAAAGTTAATCACATATCAATTAGGAAAACAGTAACTAGACAGTGAAAGAGTGGGAAGAAAGAAGGAAAAAACATAGTTCAAAGGGAGAGCAGAGAAAAATATAGGTGTGACTCTAGTGATGGTAGAAGCAGAATGGCCATACATAACTCTCTTATTCTCTATCCCCAACCACCCCCAACCTGCTTAGCAGTAACAATTTCACAACTGAATCTTCATTTAACACAATAAATTACTTCCCTACTCTCTAGATAACATCAGACTAAGTTTTTTTTGTGTGTGTTTTTTTTAAAGAGATAGGGTCTTACTGCCCAGGCTGGATTCGAACTTCTGGGTTCAAGTGATCCTCCTGCTGCAGCCTCCCAGGTGACTAAGACTACAGGGGCACATCACTGCACTTGGCTACGAGGTCTTAAATTTAATATATTTTCTAACAGGAGGTTACTAGAGATGTTGCTCAATTTTAAATCAACACAAAGGGGGAAAAATACTTTAAATCATGTACCATTTCATAACAGTTTATTTATGAAAGTGTTGCTTAGCTCTCTCCTGTTAGTTGAGGGAAAGTATTTTTCAGAGTTCAAGAGAAGAACTAAAAATCTACAGGAGTCCTGAGGGCCTCAGTGCCTTACTTACTTCCCTCCCAGAGTTTGTTCTTCAACTTTCATAGGGTAAGAGATGGCACAGTCAGAAGCTACTACATTCTCTCCCACTTTCATCTAAACAGATGGCCTACAGACTCAGGATATGATGACAGCATTCAGGAGCTATACCTCATACCTGTCTCTCAACGTTAGCAAGCTACAAGGAAGAACCTGAAGTGACATCCACCAGCATCTGCTTCCTGGGTTGGGCTAATGCTCAAGCTGCCTCAACTTTGTTTTGTACATGTATGCATTAGTAAGAACTCTGGTGAAAATTCTGCACTAACCAAAGTTGATAATTAATAATCTGTATTAGGACACTAGCAACATGAGTAATTTCCTTTTATTCCATGTATGGAAGAAAAATCCCTATATTTGTAATACAGTTATAACAAAAGTATACATACTAAAGAAATGGAATTATAATAATTTTCTGATGTGTATTACTTAAATAAGGACACTATAGTGAATGATTTGATGTAAATACTTTTAAAGAACCAATTTTTATTTTTTTATTTTTATTTTTTGAGACGGAGTTTCGCTCTTGTTACCCAGGCTGGAGTGCAATGGCGTGATCTCGGCTCACCGCAACCTCCGCCTCCTGGGTTCAGGCAATTCTCCTGCCTCAGCCTCCCGAGTAGCTGGGATTACAGGCACGCGGCACCATGCCCAGCTGATTTTTTTTTTTTGTATTTTTAGTAGAGACGGGGTTTCACCATGCTGACCAGGATGGTCTCGATCTCTTGACCTCGTGATCCACCCGCCTCGGCCTCCCAAAGTGCTGGGATTACAGGCGTGAGCCACCGCGCCCGGCCTTAATTTTTAAATTTTTTTGTAGAGATGGGTCTCCTTATGTTGACCAGGTTGGTCTTGAGCTCCTGGGCTCAAGCAGTCCTCCTACCTCAGCCTCCCAAAATACTGGGACTACAGGCATGAGCCACCACACCTAGCCTGAAAATTTAATTCCTTCACCAGAAATACTTGATGCTATCAGTTTGGTATGTGTCATGATTTTTTCTATTCGTGTGTATGCATGTAAATATGTAATTTTGCTTCACGGGTTCTTTTTTTCATTTTCTTTTTACACAAATGGAACCACACTGTAGTTTTCATTTTACAGCTTGGTTTTTCAACTGAAATAAGTCTGTGCAATCTAGCCAGATAATTACCATTAGTTTCCACCATATGGATTCCCATAGTTTTATTTAGCCATTCTGTTATTGGTGGGCATTTATGTATGATATTTTACAGGTTAGCATTGCAGCAGGGAACAGCCTTGGTCATGGCTCTTTGTGTGTCTGTTTCTCTAACATAGACACCTAGAAAGAAAAAGGCCTAGTTGAAGGGAATGTGCATTTTACATTTTATGACATCTGCCAAACTGCCCTCTACAAAGGGCACTGCCAACTTATGCTCCTGTGAACAGGGTATGAGAAGACCTTTGCCAATCTCAATATTTCGCTAATCAAATGGGTGGGAAAATAGTATCTTGTTATGCTTTTAATTGGCATTTCCCAGATAACAAGTAAGGTTGAACATCATTTCCTATGTTTATTGGCCATTTGTGCTGCTGCTTCTGTGAGCTTAGCAAATGTTGCCTCCCCTGACTTTACAACCCTGCAGTCTCAACAGACTATGCTTCCTGTCCACCCTGGGAAGAGAAGGCTATGAATGTCCAAAAGCCCCCACGCCCCTGCTGTGCCATTTTCCATTTAATAAGCAGTCACTCAGTACCTACTAAGTAAGGGAGTCTTGTGCTAGGGGCTGTGGGAAGGAGGAGATGAATAAGGTGTGATCTCCTGGGCTTTCATCTAGTTCGGGAGAAATGACAGTGTGAAGACCAGTAAGGGCTTAAACCAAATTATTAGCCAAGTGTGTGTGTAGCAGTTTTGGAGTATTTGGACTGGCAGACATTTCTCATTTATTTGCCATACCTGACCTTTTGCAGGGTGGCCTCAAAAATAACATCACCCTGGAAGGAGCTGATGTTTGGAGTAAGCACACAGCAAGTATACTTTACCCAAAGGCTGAACATGCTTTAGAGGCTCCCATGACAGCTTGTAACCAGCAGTGACTTCCAGGGCTGGCCTTTACCATAGGTTATGAAAGTGGCCACAAAGGGACCCCCCATTGTCTTTTTTTTTTTTTTCCTGCAGAAAGGCTTTTACTGGGCAGACATGGGGGTGAGTCTCATTTCGGAGGACCAGTGAGGAGAGAGGGCACGTCCTCCAAAGGAGCATGGGTGCCCATTGTCCTTTACGTGGATGGGTTGATTGTGCACCAGAGTCTTCACTTCTGGGGCTCAGGGAGAACAGCTCTTAGAACAACCCATACTTTTTAGTGGTGAGAAAAAAAGAGGCAGGGTGGGATAGGTGACTAATAGCCCAGGGCCAACTCCTGGCCACAGCAAAGCCTGAACCAGGGAAAGTGGGTTGAACTTTACTGAGCACCTACTTTACGTCATGCACTATGCCAGGAGTGTTAACTTTTACCACAATCCTAAAATATATTATCTGCGTTTAATATAAGTTTTTTGTTTTTTGTTTTTTTTTTGAGATGGAATCACTCTGTCACTCAGGCAGGAGTGCGGAGGCATGATCTTGGCTTACTGCAACCACTGCCTCCTGGGTTCAAGTGATTCTCCTACCTCAGCCTCCCGAGTAGCTGGGATTACAGGCACCTGCTACCACGCCTTGCTAATTTTTTTGTATTTTTAGTAGAGATGGGGTTTCACTATGTTGGCCAGGCTGGTCTCAAACTTCTGATCTTGTGATCCAGTTACTTTGGCCTCCCAAAGTGCTAGGGTTAACAGGTACCACGCCCAGCTAGAAGTATTTTTTAACGCCTATTTCGCTATTAGAAAACTAGGATTTCTATAGGTAAGTAGGTTACCACCACATGGGTATCCTGATGGAGTGGTCCAATGGGCAAAACCAGACTCCAAATCTCATGTTGCTTCTGTTGTGCACCTAAATGACTCACCTATACTCCCAGTTTTCCTGGTTTCCTAGCTTGGAAATTGTTACGAAATTAAAGGATGGGTTTAAAAGAGAGGGAGAGAGCTGGCCTGGCTTTCCAGCCCGCTGCACGCTCTTCCTGCCCCTGGCCTGCAGTTGCTGGGGCTGCTCCCCATGCCTTTTTGCCAGGAGGCTTAGGTCCCTTTCAGCCTCCCTGACCACCCCCTCCTGCTCTACTCATGTGGTCCTGAACCCTTGCCCTTGAATTGCTGTTTTCTCATGACCATATGGATATGTTGTGAAACTGGATTAAGAAAATGTTGGAATGCGATTTGGGAGGCCTGGTTTCTCATCTCAGTTTCTGCTCCTCCTTAGCTATGGATATGAGGAAGTCTTTCTGCTTTCGCATTTTAGTTTCATGATTTATAATACGACAGAAATAGATGAGATGAGAAGACCCCAGAGATTCTAAAATTCTATCATGGCAGCTGGGGGGCAGGGGGACTAGAATAATGATCTGCACTCTCTTTGTCACCTAGATTACCTTGTACATAAATTCTAAATTAAATATTTGCATGAATTCTCAGACCTCACATATGTGCTGCTTCTACAGACACATACATGAAGCATCCTTATAAAAACTCTTTTTTAAAAAACCTTCAGCCCAGTGCAGTGGCTCATGTCTGTAATGCCAGCACTTTGGGGGGGCCAAGGCGGGGGGATCACCTGAGGCCAGGAGTTAAAGACCAGCGTAGCCAACATGGTGAATCCTCGTTTCTAATGAAAATGCAAAAATTAGCTGGGTGTGGTGGCGTATACCTGTTATCCCAGCTACTCGAATGGCTGAGGCACAAGAATCGCTTGAGCCAGGGTGCTAGAGGTTGTAGTGAGCCAAGATTGCACCACTGCACTCCAGCCTGGGCAACAGAGCAAGACCCTGTCTCAAAAAACAACAAAAACAAAAAACAAAGGGTTATCCAGCCTTTACTGAGCAGATACTGCATGCTCAGCCTTTAAGACGCCACCATGTGTGTCTGGGTGTCTACTATGTTCCAACATTTTCTAGACACTAAGGAAGCAAATTAAGGAAAGTCAGAATCCTGCCCTCCACTGTGAGAGGTTGGTAGGTAAATGAATGAATTGTGCTGTAGCCAGGGGAGGTCTGTTTTAGAAATATGAAGGGAAGGACAATGTGAGCAACTACCTAGCCCTGCCTAAGGACCTCATGGAAGGCGGAGCCCGGGAAGAGGCAGTGCCGGGCCACTGACCTGAACCAGACTGCTTGGCAGGGACAGAGAGGGAAGGGCATGGAGTGGGATCCTAATGGAGGTGGTCAAAGAAATCCTCTAGGAGTTTGTGGTCTAGAGTGCCGCAAGGTTTTTCCCGTATTTAGGCCAACTTTAGAAACCTTCCCATAGCACGGTCTAGGGGGCTGACAAAGAAGAAAACATAATGGCCAATGTTCCATCTGCTTTAAAGACCAGACTGCTTGTCAGGGAGGCCGTGAGATGTTCAAGTATGGGGTGGTCTGCCAGAGCTGTCTGTGTCACTTTATTAAGGGGCCAGTATAAAGGAGTTAATGGACCTCGGTACTTACTACTTACTGCTTAGTAATTCAGTACTTACTAGATACACATAGATACACTATGCTAGTGGTGGAGTTGGGGGAGACCAATTGAATACAGTCCCTGTCCCAGAGGCACACATTGTCAAGTGGAGGAGGCAGGAATGTTCCCAATAAGTCTCAGTGGCAGGCAGAGCGCGGGGCTTGCTCTGTGCTCGTCTGTAATGACAGCACAACACGAAGCATAAAGGAGCATGAGAGCTGCTTCTGGAGACTCCAGGAAAACTTCCTGGAGGAGGCATTGTTTGTATGAAGCCCCGTCTCTACTAAAAAGACACACAAAAAAATTAGCCGGGCGTGGTGGTGCACACTTGTATTCCTAGCTACTCGGGAGGCTGAGGCTGGAGAATCGCCTGAACCTGGGAGGCAGAGAATGGAGTGAGTGGAGATTGCACCACTGCACTCCAGCCTGGGTGACGGAAAGAGACGCGGTCTCAAAAAAAAAAAAAAAAAAAAAGATATTTTTCTTAGGGAGGGGCGGAATTTTTTTTTTTTTTTTTTTTGTGTCTTTTTAGTAGAGACGGGGCTTCATACTGATTCTGGCGCCTCCAGGAAGTTTTCCTGGAGTCTCCAGAAGCAGCTCTCATGCTCC